TGCTACGTTGGGGTCCAGAGCGTACTAGGAAAAATTTCTTGTAGTGAAACTACGTGCTACAGTTCGAGGACACGAATGCGCATCAAAAAACGTGCAAAAAAATACTCGCTACAAAAGATACGCACATAAGTAAAAGTACAAAAGCATGCACAAAAGTACTCACGCAAAAGTGCATTCGCAAAAAGGATCATGAAAACACAAACTACAATCCTAGGACATTAATACAAATCAACAAACATGCAAGAACACACTCGCTCAAATGGACATGCACAAACGTACATGTAAAAAAATATGCACAAAAGTGCATTCGCAACAAAGTTCTTAAAAACACCAAGTACAACACTAGGACTTTAATACGCATAACCAAACAATAGCAAACACACTAGATACAAAAGATACAGTGGAGTGTAGAAATTACACTCAACGTTTACGTTTACGTGGATTTTTTTATGGATTAATTTATATTTCTGTTTTAATTGGTGGATTTAGTATCTTATAGGTACAAATTGATAATTAGGTGTCCATGAAGCAAAAATGATCAAAGAGTAAGAAAAGAGATGCAATTAGGAAAATAAAATCAAATTAGAAGAGAGGATCCCTCAACATCTTCGGTAGTGTCCACGAAGTCGAGCATAACTTTCTCATCCGGACTCCAAATCAACTGGTTCCGGCTGCATAAGAAAGCTATTTTAGCTGGCTACAATTCCTGTCTAAAGTCAAATTTCCAAATTCAGACTCGAACATGGTCAAAATTGGATTCCAAAAGCGATCATGAAAATACGTGCTACAGTTCGAAGACACGAATGCGCATCAAGAAACGTGCACAAAACACTCGCTACAAAATATACGCACATAAGTAAAAGTACAAAAGCATGCACAAAAGTACTCACGCAAAAGTGCATTCGCAAAAAGGATCATGAAAACACAAACTACAATCCTAGGACATTAATAAAAATCAACAAACATGCACAAACACACTTGCTCAAATGGACATGCACAAACGTAAATGTAAAAAAATATGCGTAAATGTGCATTCGCAACAACGTTCTTAAAAACACGAAATACAACACTAGGACTTTAATACGCATAACCAAACAACAACAAAAACACTAGATACAAAAGAGACAGTGGAGTGTAGAAATTACACTCAACGTTTACGTTTACGTGGATTTTTTTATGGATTAATTTATATTTCTGTTTTAATTGGTGGATTTAGTATCTTATAGGTACACATTGATAATTAGGTGTCCATGAAGCAAAAATGATCAAAGAGTAAGAAAACAGTTGCAATTAGGAAAATAAAATCAAATTAGAAGAGAGGATCCCTCAACATCTTCGGTAGTGTCCACGAAGTCGAGCATAACTTCTCATCCGGACTCCAAATCAACTGGTTCCGGCGGCATAAGAAAGCTATTTTAGCTGGCTACAATTCCTGTCTAATGTCAAATTTCCAAATTCAGACTCGATCAGGGTCAAAATTGGATTCCAAAAGCGATCATGAAAATACGTGCTACAGTTCGAGGACACGAATGCGCATCAAGAAACGTGCACAAAACACT